GTAATGTGGTGTGTGTGTGTGTGTGTGTGTGTGTGTGTGTGTGTGTGTAAAATGTGATTTTAGAACCTGATTTCCGTAATAGGAGAAAAAGGTCATAATTAAATTATGAGTTTGAAAAACAAAATATATTCAAATTGTTTTGATCTACCATGTTTTTAGTCAGGGATACTTCTTTCATAGAATACATGAACTATGCATATATATTTAAAAATTTCAGTAAAAATTCACTTAACATTTTAAGCCAATGTTCCAACTAGGTTATTAGATAACATTTATTAAATATTATTTGCTATATTTGAGCTCTAAACATAGCAGAATTTTTGAAAATTTCCAGGTTTACTATAAAGAAACTGCTACATTTTTTCAGTTTTTTTTTTTACTTGTTTTAAATGTTTAGCTTCTGATTCTACACAAATTTAAAGAAATGACAGGTTTGCTAACATTAGTATTCTACTCTATCTATTGAAACATCTACATTAGTTGCTTTAACTTTGTCATTAAGTTATTTAAATGGCACAAGTATTTTAAAGTGCATGGACTTTTAAGGTTATATTTATAACCAATTATCACAAAACAATAAAGCTAACCACGGGGAAAAATTATTTTCTATAGTTGGGATAGATTTCAATCAATATGGTTGGATAAGCATATGACCCATTGAAAAGATTCACATTAAGGCCTATGCATATGTAGCTTCCTTGTAAAATCTACGATGGCTTTTGATGTGAATTTTCTTTTCTGTTTTTTGTACTTAGTAATATATGCCGACTAATGTGATTTAGGCCACTACATTTTTTTTTCATCAGTATAAATTTAATAGGCAGCATAAAAGTCTGATGTTAAAAACAATTGCATTTGTTTAACAAAGGAGAATTCATTTAACATGGGATGTCTCGGCAATGCCTTCCAATGTGACAAAGGTCAGTCAGAAATGCTGATGCTCTGCACAGACCAGAGAACTTTTCACCTCTTCTGTTTCTTCTCATTTCTTTTGGCAAAGAGGAGTAGTTAAAATAGCAGAGGTGTAAATGTATGATATGTCAAGATCATTGTAYTGTCTTGAGCAACTAATAAAAAAAAAATAGCAGAGGTGTGGAGAAAAACAAGGTTGGGAAAGGTAAAGGAAGTGGAAAAGACTGCAGCAGTTTACAGGTATTTTATGGGAGCAATGTGTCTTATATTTGGGTGGTGGAACTGAAAAACAGAGTCTCAGAGAGGGCCTGGAGGCTCATGAGATGGTGTCACAGAGCAAGGAGTTTTCTGACAGGCACCACTGAATCTTGATCCTACAGCAGAGAAAGTACAATTGAAGATATCATGTTGTAACCAGATTGGTGTTTAATTACCTCGTATCATTTTCCTGTTTGTTCTAGTCTTAGGATACAATAGCACCTATCACTGAATCACGGTAGTGGTAACAGGAGGTTGCTTGTACCATGGGTTAGCTTCTTTCCTCTTCTTAYTCAATGTACAGAAATCTCTAGGGCACTGTTGTGATTCATTGTAAAGTGAGAGTTCTCTGTTATTCTATGATTTATACTCATTCCACCAAACCTTACATAATGTAATTTATTTTTCTATGGATTATTGTGGGCATTTGTAACTACTGACATACTGTTTTCTACTTTTCACATAAAATAATTAAAGTTCTCTGTGAAGTCATGTGCATAAATGTAGATAGTGTTTAAAAAAAAGTGACAAACATCATCAGTTTGGTTTGAATATTTCATTTAAATCTCTCAAGTTTAAACCAGGCAGTTCAAAAATCTTTCTCACGTTATCTGACAGACAGTTCATCACATTTTATTATTATTGGAAAAAGATTAATTTAAAATAAGTTTTGGTAAGGCAATTATTTGGCTAATCAAGCAGGGAAGAAATTACCGTTCAAAAGATGTTCTCTTTAAAAATTCTGCACTMCTGGTTAATATTTCTTTTACTCAAAAAAAATTTCAAATACATTATTTCTCATTTCCTGAAAATGCACTGAAATTTTTATTACAAATATCCTGTAAAAATCAAAATTTAAAACTATGGAAATGTTCATGCATGATGACAAAAATATATGCCAAAGGGTTTTCACTAATGCTTTGTAACAGGGAAGTGGAAACAATCTTGATGTCCATTCAATAGGAAACTAATTCAACTAAAGTATAGCCCCACAATGGATTATGTAGTAATTTATAAAAGAATGAGGTAAATATATGTATATATATATAAACTCTTATGGAAAGATATCTACTAATATATAATAAAATGAAAAAGTCACAGCAAAGAAATAATATTATTATTCTATTTATATAAAATACATGCATGCACATGTACACACACACACACACACACACACTCATACACCCCTCCCCACACGGTTATTTGTAAATTTGTAGAAAGTGTCTGGAAGGACACATACCAACATTAACAGTGGTTACCCCTCGTAAATTAGGGTGTGGTAAGCAGAGGAATTTGTGTTTTAGAATTCTATATGATTTGATTTTTTAAAGGAGAATATATTAAATTTATAATAAAAACATATAAAAATGTCCAGCCTTTGATAGAAAGATATTTATTTAATGTGCACACTTCTTTTTCTAAAGTAGTTTTTAGAGTTTATTGTAAAGATTACTACTATTGTTTTACCTTCAAAGTTGGCACTRACATATAAAGAATCCTTTTTATTTTCTTCTTTCTGTGTAAGATTTTGAAATTTAGTTTTTAAAAAATCACAAATAATTACTTTATGTTGCAGGGAAAAGCCTAATATGTATCCACCTTTAAAGAGAAAAATGCATTCATTTATTTTAAAAATCTATGCAATAGAAAAATGAAATCCTGTGCAATACAGTGCACACTGTCTCAGTAATGAAGAAACAGCCTTCACTGATAACAGACACTATTTTGTAACTGGCATATTGGAAAGTTTTCCAAATCATATGAAAATACCTCAAAAGATAAGTTATTTAAAGAAAGAATAAAAATCCCTGAGTAAGCCAAAGACAACAGATACAATGATCTAAGAAAATAGATGATTTATGACCAGAGAATATATTTTTCAACTAATTGGTATATATGTGTATGGCATATGTATTCATATATGATATATGTATATATATACATATATCATATATATATATAGATCCTCTATATTTAGAATTTATCATATTCACACATTGCCAAACTGATGCCTAAGTCCTGGAAAGATGAATTAAAAAAAACTTGAGCACTTTTATGTCAGAGCCATGTATTTGGGCTAGAGATTCTCCTTCTCCCTAACTAATACTAAAGCACCTAAAACAGACACTCAATAAATACCTGACAAATGGTTGGATGGGTGAATGGAAAGATGAATTTGTGAAACTAGAGCATCACTTTTTCTCGTCTCATGTCATGCTTTTAGATACACTACTCTAGAATCACAAATGTCACAACTGCCTTCAACAGAAAATAGATGAGTCCAAAAACCCAACAGCTATTCTGAATTATTCCAAAAAAAAAAAAAAAAATGCAAGCATGCTGCCCTTTCACCCATGAGCTAAACAAAAATGGTAAAATGTCTTACACTCTGGAGCCCAATAAAGACCAACCATCTATATGAATGCATGTTTTTTATCATATAATCTATTTCAAGTCATATAAGTTTGCTGATACATAAATGCTACATCCACGGCAGATAGCTAATTTTGAGAATTTAGAGACAAGTAAAAAACCTTAGGCTTCTTAGAAGTCTTTTCTGCCTTTCTGCTGATAACAGACACTACTGTTCATGCTGGTAACAAATGAATACACTACTTAATTGTCCTTCTCTTATTTTCAAAGATTTCTCCTCTGAGAAAAACTTTCTGAAAACACTTTCTTCATTTTTTGGTTTCCTTCTCCAAAAATAGCTGTGTTTTTAGATGAACATATGAACATAACCCCTCTATAAGAAGATACCAACAAAGCATTATGCACTTGAGCAGTAAACGAGAAATCCTTTCAAACTGGTATGTTTCCATGAAAAACTTGAGGTCAAATAAAAACAAATAGGAAGAGAAGATAGGGAAGACAGTGGAGATTAAAAAATTTAAAACCTTGATCTAAAACAAATGATCTATCATCACAAGTTGGTAATTAAAAAAACAGTGGAATACGGAATTTGTTTAAAGACTTAAGCAATTCTCTTACTAATAAACTTGTTCTTTGGGTTAAATAATCTCACATGAAGGATTTATCCACAGAGTAAAGCACGTGTGCTATAATGGAAGAAATTGAAAAGACTGAATATTTGGGTCTTGAGGACTTACTAAAAGCAACCTATTAGTTTTGTCAGTTTACAAAGTCCAATACACCTCAGGATGACCATTGCACAAATTTTTCTGTGTGTGACAGAAAGAGAGAGCAAGAAATAGAAAGGGTCAACATCAAAATAGCCTGTTGTCTACATTGACTTTAATTCAATATGTTAGCAAATTATGCCCACAAAAGAACTATCATCTCTAAACAGGTCTAAGAAAATGTGAAGGAAAAAAAAAATAGTGTAGAGGCATGGAAATAGATAYGCACAAGGTTACTGGGCCTAGATTTAACATATATTTATATACACACATTCACACTCCTACACATATACACTTCATTAACTCATAATTCTTCTCATTAATTTAGTTTCATTATTTCCCTTTTGGGCACTGAGAGTTTTAGCAATTACAGTATCTGAAAGATAAAGGAATTACACTGTTTGAGACACAGATGAAAACAGATGCCATCCGTGAACTTGTATCTTCTGAAAAGTGACCTTGCTTATTGGGACAGACAGGACCTTAGCTATTCACACCAAGTCCCACAGATAGGCTGGAGGGAGGTTTAGGGTTCAAAGACAATCCAAGCAGTGCTCAGAAGAGGCACCCTCAGAACAATTCTGAGGAAAACCAGTCCTCAGTTAAAATATTTTCTTCCAAGAAACACAAAGGTCAGAGATATGATACAGATGTTTATAGTTTATGAAAGTGACCATTTTTTTTTAAAGCAGCAATTTGTTTAGGGTAAGGACAGGATACCATATTGGGAGTGCACCGGTAGCCAGAGGCATTGTGGCTTGCAGAGAGCCATGGGGAGACGAGATGCAGAAGGTTCCTCGCAGTGTTTTCAGGGTAGAACTCACAGATGGTGTGCCATCTTGCACAGCTCCTCCTGGGACCAGCTTAGTGGGGTGAGATCACCTGCATTTTACCAATGCATACCTGTCCTTGATCGCTTTCTCTGTTTCTTACAAAGGCAATAGATAGGAAATACAAATAAACCTAGGGATTAAAAAAACATAAAGGCAATTAGGGGGAGACACATTTTGGTTTCTTTGAAAATTTTCCCTTTCATTTCTTTGCATACTCTTTAGAAATAATCTTTTTTTTTTTTTAGCAATACATGGACGTGAAAAGAGAGAAGAAACCTATGCTATGAAATATGTTTATTATTATTTAATTCTTTATTATTTTTCTTTAGCTCTTTCTGCCTTTTAACATTCTCAGTGATATAGTTTCACTAGGGAACAAAGCTTTCTATCAAAATATCAAACCTTAGATTTAAATCTTAATTATCCATAGTCAAATCCTTTGTACACTATGACAGTCACATTTCAGTTTCAAGTAATACCACATCTTATTTAAAAACACCTTGTGGAGCCAAATATCAGATGTGACTCCCAGTTTTAAGACTAATAAGGTCTTAGTGAGCCTTAATTTTCTCAAATGTAAAATGTAGATAGTAAATAATTACCTCATYCAGTCCTGACTTACTGCAGTAACTGAAATGTCAGATACTGTCTTCTGTCCTGCACATGTATTACTTTCCAAATAAAAATTTATGTATGAAAAATCATTTTATTTAGCAAAATTAAATAGTTACAATTAATAAACAATTAATAAAGCAGCCTTTATCACAGTGTTTAACTTAATCTTTTATAAAGCAATGGTTCTCAAAGTGTGGTCCTTGGACYAATAGTATTAACATCACTTGGGAACATTTTAAAATAAAAAATCTATGGGCTGTGCCTCAATACTCAGTCAGAAGTTGCAGGTAGAAACAATCAACTATGTTTTAGCTAGTCCTTGTGGTTATTTTAAGACTTGGTAAAGTCTGAAAACTATTGGTTTAAGGTGCATACTTTAATATACTTGTATGAATGGAACTATACAAATCATTAATAGGTTTTCTATTTGTCCATGCTTAAGTAGATGTTGATATGTTCCTGTATACATGGAAGGCATTTTTTACTAGGTGAAACCAAACACCTACCAAACACCAAAGCCTCTTTTCTTTAATGCTCCAACCTGAAATCAGAATTGGAGAACTTTAAGTCTAGTTCACTTGACTCTTGCACTAAAACACAATTGCGTCCTTGGTATTAAGAGGAAGTAATAATGAATCCAAGTGTTCAAAGACTGAAAAACTGTCACACAAATATATCCTACGGGAAACATGATACTCTGAATTTAGAAGTCACATGCTGAGTAGCTGTCTAAAATAGGCATGGAACAGAAATTATGGCCACTAACAGCAGACTCACTTTACATTTACACTCATTTTGTCTCCGTTGTCATGTGAAAAATCTAATCTCAGACATGATAAGTGTTTCTTACCGATTACAACTGCTATGGCCCCTAGTGCTAATCCSAGGACCAGGATTAGAGGTGCAACGAATAATTTTCCAGCTGGAAAACAAAAAGCAAAATAATTTAGTATCTAAAAGCTAACTTGCCAAACACTTCCAGCAATGCTTTTAAATATCTCAGTGCAGGTTATTTTTAAAGAAGTCTGATGACAATTAAGACCTTATTTTCCTAAGAAATATACAAGGTGTAGAACAGCTAATGAACACATAAGTTCATCATAGATGTCTTGGGCAATCTGTGTCAAACATCTCAGAAATCATTTATCTTTCATATTAACAACAAAAACAAATCTAAACCAACTGGCTCACTTTATACTTCCAAGGCCATCCATCTTTGTGTTTTCCTTTAGATATTTTCCATTTTCAAGATGCTGAAAGATTAAGAAAGGAGTGACACGTTCTGATTTGGTAGGAGAAAATCCAGTTATTTCACAAATGAAGAGCTGGTAGGGACTACAGAGAAATTCCACCTAAGACCACATCTGAAAAAAAAGTGGTTTATTTACCTCCTGAGTCCAAAGAAAATTAATAATATGACCTAATAGAATGAATGACAAATGGAATGTTGTGAAAACTCCTCTTAAGGAAAATTACCCATAAAAATCATGTTGGGAATAATTCAAGTAAATAATTTTTAAAAATTTAAAAAGGAAGGCACCTATAAAACAAAAAAGGCTACATGCTGGTAGGGTACTGTGTCTGGCAGCATCAGCCAGTATTTTCTCTCCTAGATGAATAATTTATCAGTGGTAATGATCAGTATTGTCATATGTGAACACAGAACAGAATCCACAATGGGAATCCCGCTGACTTTGAAAGAAACTAGCGCACACAAAATAGGCCAGAAAACAGTGTCTGCTCATTCCGTAGCACATGGGTTAGAGCACGTGGCACAGTTGTACAACTGCAAAACTCAAATGTGGTAGGAGAAGTGAAAGAGGAGAAAAATCTGCAGGAGGATCATACAGCTGTTTAAGAATGAAATAGCAATAGAATCCTATAAACTAGGAACAGTAATTTCTTTGTTTTAATCACCAATTACACACAAAAGAGAAAGACTATGCAGCTACTGGTTAGAAATCTGACAGAAAAAAATTAACTTATTTTTTAGAAATGGTCTGTGGAACCAGATGACCAGATGTATATGGAACATAGCTTTTAATATAAAAGATAGTTTTAATAACTGTAATGATTAACTTGAATTGTCAACTTGATTGGATCAAGAGAGGACAGATATTAAGAAATTTATGGGTGTGGCATGAGGGTGTATCTAGGAATGATTGGCATGTGGGATAGCCAAATGAAACGTAGACTCTCCCTAATCATGGGCAGCATTGACCAATAGGATGATGGCTTGGGTGGAATAAAAGTTGGAAGAACAAGGAAACAGCAGATGCCAGCTCCATTCTTCTGGAATGGGTTCTTGATAGCAATTGTCTGAGGATATTGGACTCCTGCTACTTTCCTCTTCCAAAGCAGACTCTGATAGTGATTCTCTCCCGAGCCGTGGTTGATCCTTCTTGTACTGGGGCTTCAGCCTCTTGGACAGTGCAGCTACTGATTCTTCCAGCTCTAAAGCCTGCAGAGTGCCACTGTGGAGTATCACCAGTTTTGGGTCCCGCTTTTATAATTATACTTCCTGTTCATTCTGTTCCTCTAGAGAACCCTAATACAATATCTAATTAATATTAACGAAATGTCTAACATGAGTTTTTTCTTTTCTTTTTTATTTATTCTAATTAGCTATACATTACAGTAGACTGCATTTTGACACATCATACATAAATGGAGTATAATCTCTCATTCTTCTGGCTGTACATAATGTAGAATTACACTCGTCATATAATCATATATGCACATGGGGTAATAATGTCCAATTCATTCCACTGTCCTTCCTACCTTCCTGACCCCTCCTCTCCCTTCACTCCCCTCTGTCTGATACAAAGTACCTCTATTCTTCCCCAGGCACCTGTTTATTGTGAATTAGTATCTACATATCATGGAAAATATTTGACCTTGGTTTCTTTGGGATTGTCTTATTTTGTTTAGCATGATATTCTCCAGCTCCATCCATTTACCAGAAAATACCATACTTTCATTCTTCTTTAAGGATGAATAATGTTCCATTGTGTGTGTGTGTATATATGTATACACATCACATTTTTTTAACCCATTCTTCTGTTGAAGGGCACCTAGTTTGGTTTAGCTATTATGAATTGAGCTGTTATAGACATTGATGTGGCTACGTCACTATAATATGTTGATTTTAAGTCCTTTGGGTATAAACTTAGGAGTGGGATATTTGGGTCAAATGATGGCTCCATTCTAAGTTTTCTGAGGAATCTCCATACTACCTTCCATAGTGGTTGCACTAATTTGAAGCCCCACTATCAATGTATGATTGGACCTTTCCCCCCACATCATCGCCAAAATTTTGTTGCTTGGATTCTTGATAATTGCCATTCTGCCTGGCGTGAGGTAAAAATCTCAGTGTAGTTGTGATTTGCATTTCTCTAATTACTACAGATGTTGGATAAKTTTTCATATATTTTTTGATCAAATGTATGTCTTCTGTGAAGTATTTGTTCAATTCCTTAGCCCATTTATTGACTGGGTTGTCGAATTCCACCATCAAACACTCACAGTCACTCCAGGTGAACTGGGACACACGAAACAACCACACAGAGACAGAGACAGAGAAATATCTTTTTCTTTAGGTCCTGTGATGGCTCCTCTAACCTTAAGGGTCCATGGAAAGACAGAGAGAGAGAGAGAGAGAGAGAGAGAGAGAGAGAGAGAGAGAGAAA